GTGGGCCCCACTTTTGTTTTTGTGTTGGGTATGACCATGTCATCATTTAGCTAGTTGTACAACTGACGTGTCTTAAATTTTTGATATGTCTGTGAGTTAACGGACGATTTTTAATGGAAGGACTAAGTTGGGGTAAAATGGGTAAACAGTAGGGATCAAATCAGGGATTTTTTTAGTTCAAGGACTAAATCGAGGGGTCCGTACAATAGTTTGGGGATCAAAAAGGGGTTTTAACCAAGAAAAGGGGATGAATTGAAATAGGGGAACAAGGGCAAATCAAAGGAAAAGGTTATGTAAAAAATCTGGAAAGTAGAAACAGGGAAAGTTGAAGAAGAGCAAAATTAGGATTTAATATTTTGAGTTGAAGATGAGCAAAATTGGGATTTTATACTGTTAACTTGAAACCACATCATCTTATTAATTCATTCCGATTAAAAATTAGTACTACCAACTAAGATCCAGTTTTCTGACTTTTCTCTTTGGGTTAAGGCGAGAGGAGGGAAGTGGAAAGTTTTTTAATCAATTAAATTATGATATTAGAGTTTATTAGTCCTGATTTATATATAAAAAAAATTAGAATTTTAACTTATATTTAGAAACTAATTATATATTTGAATATAAACAATTATCAAATTTAAATATTAACATTTAATAAAATAGTTTTTTAAATTTTGAATTGGATTTTAATTAAATAAAACGATATAGTTTAAAATTGAAACTCCAATTTATTTTAAAAATGGAAACTGATATACACTTTTTTCTTAATTATAATGTTTTTTTATATATTATAATCTAATCTAATTGGTAAAAAAATCTTCCTCTTCCCTCTCCTTCATTTCTTTCAACTCAAACATGCCATAAAAAAATATTTAAACATAAATATGTGCTTTTTGAATTCTTTATACTATTATTTCCAATAAACGTTACTTTTTTTTCCAGAAACGAGAAGATAAAAATATTAACAAAAAACACTGGTACACTAGTATTTAGGGAACTTAGTCCTATAAAAGCAGGCAGGGTGTGACACATATTAGCAAGCAAGTTTGCACACATATTGGCCAATAAACATAATTAATTAATACTCTAAGGGGGTGATTTAATAATTAAAAACTTAAGATTTCAAGTTAGAAATTTTAAGTACAAACATTAAATCGGGTGAAAAGGGATTTCAAAAAAAAAAAAAAGGCTATCCTTCTTATATAACCTATCATAATCAAATATATAAAAAATAATAATTAATTAATGTAACAATAACAATTGTATAGAGCTCTATCTTACTTCAGCATTATCATTAACCATTAATTTAAACAAAAAATATTTATTATTACATTTTAAGTAATATAATCTTTTTTTATATAGTTTTACTTCAATTTTACTTTAACTATTACAACTATATTTCAATCTAAACTCAATTATATTTTTAATAATAATCTTTCAATATACATTTTTAATATTATATCTTACTATATTATAAAAATGGTTAAATCTTCATTAAATCTTGAATCAATACCCAATGAATGTTCTAAAATATTTAGTAAATATCTCTAAAATCTTAAATAAATACCCAATAAACCCTTTAAAGAAAACTTATTAAGAAGTTGAGACCCAATTAACTCCACTTATATGGAATTAACTTCAATTTATAGTTTTATATCCAATAACTCCCAATCCAAACACAATTTATTATAAAAAAATTAATAAAATGTGAAGTATAGATAAATAAAAAAGTATCAAGCGAATAATGTTAATGGGTTAGATGTTTTATACTTTGACTTAAAACATTTCAAATATAGGTATTAGGGAGAGAGGAGATAAAGCAGGGTAAAAAAGATATTTACAATAGTAAGAATTTATAAATACAAAGATAAAAGAAGTTGACTAATGAAGATTTGATGAAATGCTTTATCATGTTTATTTAAAAATTTTCAATTGATATAGAAGTTAAATATCTATTTATAATAAATTAATATATGTTTAAAATAACTTTTATATTTATTAATTAAAAATTAATTTCAATTATGAATGAATATTGTTATATATAACTATTACTAAAAAGATGTAGTATAAGTAAAGTGCCATATAACACAATTTTAGAGCCTAGTTATTATAATTTTTTTTAATATTGAATTCTCTCTTTCTATGTCTCTCTTTTTGTTTTTTAAGTTGTATGGTAAAAGGTCATTTTTTTTCTCATCCCTTAATTTACTTTAATTTCATACAATGTAATTTAAATTTAAAATCTTTTATTTAAAAAAAATTATTACTAAATTACTTAATTTGTTAGTAGATATTTTCTCTTCTTCTTATTGATTTTAGTTTATTTTAGGATTTCCACATTAAATTGATGTGTTAATATTTTATCTTTACTTTTCCTAAACACACATTGCTTGTGCGGAATTGTGTTGATTAAAATTCCCAACAATGTGGCTATTGAATTGAAATGAGAATTCCATCTGCTGTTTAAAATAAAGAAAATAAAAAATATTAAAAAATAAAAAATAAAAAGAGAGAATTCCATCTTTGTGTATGCAGGTTTTTTGTGAAGTGCTCAATTGATTGGTTCTTCTTTTGGCTTCAGTTTTTTTAATTTTAACTAAAGAGCAATTTTAAGTGCGAACATAACTTTCAATTTATCGTTATACTTGTCCAAAGAACACATGAAAGCACTGTTGTAAATTTCATACCATACCGGTCAATGCGGTTGATACGTATCAATTTTTTTAAAACCAAAATGGTATAAGGTTTAATTTTATTTCGGTTAAATTTCGTCTGTTTTGATCAAATTATAGTGTATTCACTAGTATTTTGGTATACCGATACATTCAAAATGGGTTTGCACAAATGAATTTAAATTTTAAAAGGGTAAATTTCATTTTTAGTCCTCAACTTTAATGTTTTACATAATTTTCATCTTTTAATTTTTTTATGTATTTTTTTAATCCATCAACTATAAAAATTGAATTTTTTTAATCAATTCAAAGTTAATGCTTTGTATAATATTAAATTTAGAACATTGTTATACTTTCTAATATTATCTTAATGTTAAAAAAAAAAGAAAAAATTATGGATGTTTTATAAAATTGGCTATTTTAAATTT